GAAATTACCTTCAATATTTTTACAAAGTGAGGTGTCATATATAAAGGCCACTTCGACTGAAAAGGCTTTCCTTGTAAGTCTGTAGTGATTGCCGAAACGTACAATAATCTCATTTTTTGTCAAGGCACATAGCTTACAGAGGAGTATACAATGCAGAAATCTTGAATGGGCATGAGTCAACCCATTTCATGTGTTATGCATTTGAATTCTTTTGTCTGCGAAGGCATAGCAAAAGCCCTGACAGAATCGATTGCATAATATCAAAAATGTCACCAAAAAGTTTTCTTTTCTCTTCCTATTTATAATTGGCAATACCGGAGTTCGCCTACATTTTGTTTGTATTTTAAAGATTGTTTGAACTCAGAGTGAATCTGAGAATCTTTTTTCTGATGTACTATGCCATACTAATGCATGATTTCTTCGTGCTAACGAAGGCGTTATTTCTAGACTGTCTTTTCTGTTAGATGAAAATTGCACATGAGATTTCTGAATACAGCTGTTCAAAGTCTGAGAAGAAGGCTAAAACTTTTCAGTAGCTTGCAAATAAATTCACTTTTTATGCTGAAAATACGGAAATCATCAAGATAGGCATATCCAGTAATTATTTTCAACAATTTTCGACCTTCTTCTTTGCAAAATTTTACACACAAAATCCCGTCTTGTTGTTAAAATGCACGACTTTTGGGTACGAAATAGACGTGCACATCAAAATTCTGTTAATTTCTCGTTCCTCCAAGCAATATCAGAAAGTGACATGTTCATATGATAAGGGTTTACTAGAACAAAGTCTTATGGATCAGGAAATACTGAAACTAAGTATCTGACTCTGTAATTTAATCTATATCTGCATTATATGAGTTAACAAGATATCATCTAATCGTGAGAGGAGAACACCGCGCGATTGCTTGCCATTCCAATTCAAAAAAAAGGATTTGAAAAGTATCACTTTGAAATTCTGGATAGAATGCATAGCGATCTTATACACTGCGATATGTGTTATACAAGCGCTTACCACAGTGAGTAAAAGGGATATTGAGAAGGTACGAATGACGAGTTTTGTAATTGCCTTATTAGATTGACGAGTTCATCCACATCTTAAAGCAAATATGCTCTGCCATTCATCAAAAGCGAAGTTGCAGAAAAGGAACAACGAACACCAACTCAAACTTGTTTTTAAGAGTTTTTTAATTATTCCTCTCGTCATAGACGTGAAAGTTTGCAAGTACATGTACACATCGGTGAGACAAAGTGAATATAATATGATATGGTATAATGTTTGCAACGTTTGCATTACATGCTTGATGGTTATTGTTTCGGAATATGGATTAAAAGTAACATCGATGCATATATGAAATTATTTTAGTACAACTTTGCGGCCATGGCCTTCGCACTCTGACAACCGTCGTGGAGATTTTGAAACACTGGATTGCCATTTTCGCAATAGCTTGGATAGGGAACCTCGTAGAGAATCTTCCAACCGGACTAAAACAATTTTTCGTATTTCAACTGAGCAACAAAAAAAAGTTACTGAATATGTAGCTGTTGTCATTGGTGTCTTCTGAATTTATGTAGATGAACGAGATATTTAGAGTTTTGACAGACCTTGGTGAAAATCGCTTGCGAACCAGCTGCAGTCGCAGCAGTCGCTATGTATTCACATCCCTCGGCTTGCGCAGTCTGCATGGCTCGTCGATTTAGCTCTTTGCCCAAACCTTTGCTAAAACAACGAATCTAATATAACGAGAAATTCACAAGATAGCATTGCGCAAACCCCATGTAATCCTTGTGGACAGACAATATGTCCATTTTCATGTATTTGTGCTTAGACAGCATCTGAGATAGCGTGTCCTCTAACAAGTGTACCAAAGTGACTAATTGGTTGGCTTTATGCTGCTTGTAAGGCCCTTTGGCGATGTCTAAAATGTAAAGCATAGTTAATTCAGACGATGATTACTAAAGGATAGAATGAATGATGCAAGATGATGCAAAAATCCATTGCGAAATCTACTATTATAGCTTTTAGCAACGATCTTGCTAAAAAACCTCGTAATTTCTTCGCCACTTTGAGATGGCTATGCATTATTTTATTAACAGAATAAACTATTTAATCGTTATGTACCTTCCGCAAAGTCGTGATCTTTGACATCAATTTGTGCTGGAAGAGCAACATCCTTTGTCTCCGTCGAACATAGCGAACATAAGCATATGGCTACCAATCTGTTGAGAAACAACGTTTAAAGAAACTTCCACACTTTTACTAGCAATATGCCT